CGTATATCTTACAACCGGCTGTACGGTGTGCACCGTACAGCCCGGTAAACTTGTAATTCCTATCAACTTCATCCCCTTTAATTTGCTCTTAACCTCCATCCGCAATTAATTTTTTTCTTTTCCGTTTCACCGCTGCTTTGGCGGCAATTTGCATGGCTTATAATTCCTAATTCCTCTTGCTCTTATTCTTCCGTTGGATTTATGCGTTTGTCTTTTTCATTTTTCCATTAGCAAACAAGATTTGCTTCCATGCTTCTTTCTTTCTCTTATAATTAGATTTCATTGCTTTCCTGCTTTTTTTCCTTCTTTTTTTGCTTTAACAACTTTTACTTTTTCCAATCAACCTTTTAACTTAGTTTTTTTAAAATTTGTGCATTTTAAAACATTTTAGTCATTAATTTTAATTTCTATTTTTTAAATTGTAAGATGAATATTTACTACGTATTAATTTCTTATTTATTGTGTTTTAATTACTATTATGAGTTTTGTGTTATACTAAAATGAGTATAATGTAAAATAATTCTGCATGAATAGATATTATAAGAAGAAGATGATTATATTTTTAATTCAAGAAAGAAAGACTATAAAATATTTTTTAATATAAAATTATTATATATATCTCATTGTTATATATAATGATGATTTAGTATATTGTTAATTATGTATCTACTACATGTACGTGTTATAGAAACGAATAATATAACGATTAAAAGAAATAAATATACACAGATGAATATTTTCGATGTTCATTTTGTAAATTACGTATGTTCATTTTGTAAGTTATGTATGCTCATCTGGTATTGGTATAAGCATAAGACTTATTATGTTGAGTATTATGAGGCTAATATTGAGCATCTCGATCTCTGCATTATATTTTCTAATTCCCTTTGTTTTTCTTATTTTGTTTATTATAAAAAACTAAATTATAACTATAACCAACTCTTAATATTTTAATCTAATGTAATATAATACTTTTGAAAACAACATTGATATTACATTTTAAAATGAGTATAACATCAGTACCAAATGAGCATACATACCTTACAAAATGGGCATTGATATGAAAATAATAAACTCTATTAGTTGAACATCAAAACATTTCATTTAACATCAAACCTTCTGTATTGAGTGTTAGAAGTCTAACGATGAGCATCAAACCTCCTATATTGAAATGAAAATAATGGTTTTTGTTAAATGAGCATAAATGAACTTTTAATTAGCACTAGACATATTCTTTTGAGTATTAGGACTCTATTATTGAGCATAGTAATCTCTGCTTCATATCTTATAATTCACTTTCTTTTTTTCCTTTTATACAAACTTATTAAATTATATCTACAATCAATTCCTATGAAGTTCAATATGTGAATGTAATGTATAGGATCCTTTTGAAATAAGCATTGATATGACATTTAAAAATGAGCATAACATCAATACCAATTGAGCATATGTAGCTTACAAAATAAGAGAATTAATATGAAAATAATCAACTTTGTTAGTTGATCATCAAGACATTTTTCATGAGCATTAAACATCCTCTATTGAATATTAGAAACGTGCAATTGAGTACCGATTGAGCATTCGTAAATTATAAAATGAGCATTAGTGTGAAAATCATAAGCTTTTTTAGTTGAGTGAGCATCAAGACATTTTCATCGAGTATCAAGCCTCCTCTATTGAGTATTAAAAACATGCAATCGAGTATCATGGTCCATTCTCTCGTATCTATAATTTAAAAAGTGAGAATATAATAACTTTAAATTAAAAATAATTTATAGTATTTTGTTCTTCAATTACAAATAAATATTGTGTTGTTTTTATGATATTTACTCATACACATTTATTTTACACTATACTCATTGTAGTATAACACAAAACTCATGTTAGTAATTAACACATAATACTTAATGAAATTAGAAATATTCCTCTTAAAATTAAAAAATAGAAGAACAAAACATTGATGCCTAAAATCTTTTATAATGAAGAAATTTGAGATTATACTGAATAATAGTTGAATAAAAATTAAAGCATGTTTAAGAAAAAATAAACGAAAAGAAAGAACTAAAAACGGAAAACAACAAAAATAAAGAAAACTGAAAAGCAAAATAAAGAGAAAAGCAAGATAAGAACGAGAAAACTGAAAAGTAACGAAAAGAAAAGAGAGAGAAAAGGAGAAGAGCGGTAGCAGCCATCAGCGAAAAACGAAGTGCAGCGGAGGAAAAGAAAAGCAACAACAGCCATTAACCTACCTTTTACCCCTATAACTTTGATTTAATTACATAAAAACCCGGATGTACCATGCCCCTAGGTACAGCCGGCTGTACCGCCTGTACGATATATATTGCGGTGATTACCCGGTCGACTAGGCATACCAACGACATAGGTTTATTACTCCGTAGATTACTCCAAAATGAGGATTGGACACTTCACTTTATTACTTCGTAGATTATTATACATAGTGCTATATGAATTCACACTTTCAGGTTTCTGTATGACTCTTATTTTGTCCACATGTTGTTGCTGAGTACATTGTTGCTGGTGGTTGCCGAAGTAGTCATGGTTTCGAGTTGAATACATCTGAATACAAACAAATGACTTTCCAGCTGAATTCCACAGAAAAATAACAATGACAATGTCAACACCAACACTTTTAAAAAACGACATTGTAAAAATGACAATGATTTAAAAATGACATTGAATTAATGACAATGACAATGTCAATGCTATAAAAATGTCATTGTAAAAATGACAATGATTTAAAAATGACATTGTATTAATGACAATGATATTGCCAATGTTATAAAAACGTCATTGTGACATTGTCAAGAAGTGATATTATCTTCGATGATTACATTGAGATATATGACAATGTTATATCATCCTAAAAATTTACAATGTTAGAAACTTTCAAATGTCACAAAATTATCACAATGTCAAATAATGAAAATGACAATCTCAATGCTACTAAAATGACATTGTACGTAATAATGACAATTTTAATACTACAAAAAATGACATTGTATCAATGCCGATCTCAATGACTATAACAATGACAATGTTATAAAAATGATCATTGTTAAAAACATTGACAATAATATAAAATGCCATTGTTTTTTTAGGAAAACACATTTTGATAATGTTTTATAATGTCATTGTTGGAAAGTTGATATCATTGCGTGAAATTATAAAATTAGAAATCCAGAAAATAAAAGAAAATGTGACATTGTTAACACAATATATCAACATTGTCATTATTAATAACATGACATTGTCTGTTTTATTTACATTGTCATTATTAACAACACAATATAATGTTAATACCATTATTTGAATAAAAACAATAACAACAACCTTTATCGATGGATCACATTGGTGGTACAAATTATATATAGCTAACTAAGATACCAAGGAGAATAGCTAAAATGAATCAAAGAAGTATTAATAAAAATAGTGATTTACATTAAAATTAAACAAAATAATACTCCGTATTACAATTTTGAAAAGGAAATTAGGAATTACAAAGAAACTTAAGAAGTACAACGAAAAGGAGTAAAAGAAAGTAAATGGCAAAAAACAAAATCAAAGTAGAAAACGGCAGAAAAGAGGAAGAAATAGAAGTCGACAGATGAGAAGCTGAAGAGGGAGAAAAAGCGCGGCGACGGAAGAAAAGGAGAGGAGAAGAGGAGGAAGAACAGCGGATCTGCAACATATATATTCGCCGGTGCCGACCGCACTTCATCTTCCTTCTATAGTCTCTTCGCCGTCAGATCCGGCCTGCTGCCACCGCGCCTTGCGCCGCCTCATCTTATTCGACTTCCCCGCACTCAGGGACGGATCCAGGATTTTGGGTCAAGGGGGGCGAAATTTTTCGTTAGTGTAGGGGGTGAAATTTTTTTTCGTTAGTGTAGTGGGACGAATTTTTTTCCCCTAGTGTAGCGGGGCAAAATTTTTCACTACTGTAGGATTATGCGGCTATTTTTATTAAAAAAAAATGACATTAATACATATATATCCCCCAACGACATATAAATCTATTACATTCTAAATTTAGACAATGACAAAGACATCAACCAATACATTTTTAATAACTTCTATATTGTTTAATCTTATGAATCGGTTATTGAATTGTAATTTTTGTCCATCAAGGAAGGTGTTCGTGAGTCATGACTCATGAGAAGTTTTCTTAATATTACAATAGTAGTATGTATGAGATTATTATTTTTAGAATAATATGCACCACATACACACACTATATGGTGCATATTATATTTTAATATTTGTATTAATGCTATAATAATTTAAATTTTATTATCTATGCAATAAATTATTTTTAGAAAGCAAGAAGTAAATGAATTATGTAATTTAATGTCAATAAATATTTATATTTTGGATTCATTTCACGTGATCTAAAAACTGTGTAATTAGTGTGTCTTGTATTTAATATTGTTTGATATATATTTTACAAAATTGAGTACTTGTTATCTAATAAAGATAATTACACATTACAAAACTAGGAATTCTTATATAATAAGTATCCTAAATCTTAAACAACGAGTTATGTAAATTATATTAGATGTTCTTTCTTTTAAATATCCAATTATGTATTACATTATCACTAGTGCAAAATACACATTCTACAACTAGGTGTTTAATAAGGGTTCACGTTCAACCATTATAAAATGCAGGCACGGGGTCATATTTATAAATAATAAAAGTTAAGTAAGTTCACGGGATTAGAATCATAAATATAAAATATTATCTATAACGGTTGCAAGAATAACCGACATTGTTAATTTAAAACGGGGTCATTTAAATAATTTCAGGAAACATTGTTTCGAAATGGGGGCTATTTTATAATATTTGAAAATACTTTTTATGTCAGCTGAATCCTAACCCTTACGAAAGAAACGAGCGAAAAACATACGAAGTATAGGGAGTACATTTAACCTACTGCGCGCTGGCCTAAGAGTTCACTTCATCGATCTCATCTATTCATCTATCTGCGGAAACCCTCGAGGAAGAAGACTGAAAGACGACTTCGACGGAGGAGACGGATTCGAAGACGACCGCTGTTGCTCCCAATCAACGGACGGAGGCCGTGATCACTGTTGCTGCCAATTCGCGGACAGAGGTCGCGACCGCAGCTGCTCGCGAAACAGAGGACGAACACTGGTTCTCTCAGAGTCTACTCACTGCCCTGCTCTCCACCTTAGGTAAATTTTCGATTTTTCAATTTACATTATACTTGATTTTGCAACAAGAATAAGAAATAGAAACCTGTTGCTTGGCCTTCAATCGGTCATAGCAGGTTGTTAATTGCAGGGTTTCAATATGTGAATTGACTTCCCATTGTTTTCCATCCTTTTGATAATTATTCTTTATAGATAATATTTAATTCATGTTCATTGATAATATTTAATGTTTATTAATCTCAGGTGCTTCTTTTAGTTCTTTAATCTTAATTTTAGTTAAGTGATATTATGCTTTAATTAAATGTGGTTCTTTTATCTTAATTTTTTTGTTAATATAAAATTTGTTAATATTTTCTTAATTATCTGTTAATATTCTGGAAATTGAATACTATATGTATTAGCTATGAGATTGATATTATTTTATTAATATATTACTCAGTTGTTGATTTTCCATCATATGTATTTTTTTACTACAAAAAAGAAAAGGGAGAGATTATGTTAAGTTTTAGTTAATTAAGTTCCGGTGAATTAAATTTAGATTACAGATTTCACTCAGGCTCTATACTGTTGTGTAGATTACAGATTACATGCCCAAGTTATATGTTCTTTCTTATATTTATGTGTTTGACCACATATATTACAGTTATGGATCGAAGTTGGATCAACTCTAGACGAACAAGTGATGAGTATGAAAACGGTGTTGAATCTTTTATTCAATTTGCTAAAACAAATCTCCCGGATAGTAATGGAAGGTTTTATTGTCCTTGTGTTAATTGCTTGAATTCGAGACGGCTAGACATTGACTTAATACGAGAGCATGTCCTCTGTGATGGTTTTTGCAAAAACTATACAGTATGGATATGGCATGGTGAACGACTAAATGTGCCCACTACACCATCTCATGGAGAGGAAGTTTCTGGAGCATATAAGGATGATCATCTGGAAGATATGATACGTGATCTTGGCGAAGAAACTTTTAAGCGATCACATCTTTATGATACATTCTGTGTTGATTCAGAGAAGCCTTTATATCCTGGGTGCACTAAGTACACACGATTGTCATCAGTGTTAAGATTGTTCAATTTGAAAGCAAAGAATGGCTGGAGTGATAAAAGCTTCACCGAATTACTTGAGTTGTTAAAAGACATGCTGCCGGAAGGGAATACATTGCCAAACCGCAACTATGAGGCAAAGAAGATATTATGTCCTCTGGGTATGGAGTATAAGAGGATACATGCATGTCCCAACGATTGCATACTCTATCGAAAGGAGTTTGAAGACCTGCATAAGTGCCCAAGATGTGGATTATCGCGCTATAAAGTGACAGATAATGACTCAAGTTGTGATGTAATTGTTACAAGTGGTCCTCCTGCTAAAGTATTATGGTATCTTCCAATAATACCAAGGTTGAAGCGACTCTTCTCTAACCCAAGAGAAGCCAAAAACATTAGATGGCATGCAGATGAAAGAAAATGTGATGGCATGATTCGCCATCCAGCAGATTCTATCCAATGGAAGAAAATTGATAAGTTATTTCCCACTTTTGGTAATGAGCCAAGGAATCTTAGACTTGGACTAGCTACAGATGGTATGAATCCATTTGGTAACTTAAGTAGCATTCATAGTTCATGGCCTGTTCTCTTGATAATTTATAATTTATCTCCTTGGTTGTGCATGAAGCGCAAATACGTGATGCTATCTTTGTTGATTTCCGGTCCAAAACAACCTGGTAATGACATAGATGTGTACTTATGTCCTCTTGTCGAAGACTTGAAAAGGTTGTGGGAGGAAGGCATTGATGTCTTTGACGGATATCGGGGTGAAACTTTCAAGATGCATGCCATGTTGTTTTGTACCATCAATGACTTTCCAGCATACGGGAATCTTGCTGGCTATAGTACTAAAGGACATAAAGCGTGTCCAATATGTGAAGAGGACACATGTTACCATCAGTTACCTCATGGAAGAAAAACTGTGTATCTTTCTCACCGAAGGTTTCTCAGAAGGGATCATCCATACCGTAGATTGAGGAAAGCTTTTAATGGATGCAATGAGAATAGATGTTCCCCAATCCCATTAACCGGAGAGCAAGTTTATCAACGAGTGAAGGATATCAATGTTGTGTTTGGGAAATCAAAAAAAAAACCTATTGATACACAAATATGGAAGAAGAGATCAATATTTTTTGATCTTCCATATTGGCGCAACCTTGATGTGAGACATTGCATTGATGTCATGCACGTAGAGAAAAATGTTTGTGACAGTATAATTGGGACACTTCTAAACATTCCTGGAAAGACAAAGGATGGTTTGAATTCTCGTCTTGATCTTGTTCAGATGGGTATACGAGAAGAGCTAGCTCCCCAGCCACGAGGTAAGCGTATGTATTTACCTCCGGCATGTCATACTTTGTCTAAGGAGGAGAAAGCTACTTTATATGTAAGACTATATATTAATTTTGAAAATTAAAAGCTTAGGGGGGCGAATCTAATTAGATTATGAAAGTTTTATGAAAATATTATATATATGGTAGAAATTTTTCAAAGTCCAAGGGGGGCGGTCGCCCCCCGCGCCCCCCCCTAAATCCATCCCTGCCCGCACTGCCTCCAGTGTTCTGCCAAGGAGATGCTCACTACCAGGGCCTACGGTACGGTACGAACCAGAAGTTTGGTCGTGTTTGCCGACAGAGAAGAGAGAAAGAGTAGATTAAGGGTAAATCTGGAAACACGGAAAAACTTAGTCTTATTTAGGTATAAAAATCATTTAAGTCCTATTTAGTTACCCTAAGTTTTTTTTGGTCCTATTTAGCACCATTTCTCAAGTAAATATACCAAAATATCCTTACACGAAAGTCTGAATCCTAAGAATGGATTTGTTTTTCCAAAATATATTTGAGATATTTTTAGTAAAACTTTTGATATTATTTGCTAACAACAAATCCGAAAAGTGTGAGGGTTATCACACATTGGTGCTAACAAAATAGTTACAACTTAATTAAACAAATCTGGTTCTAAGCTATGCGGAATAATTGAAAAATAATGGTGATTGGGGAAAGAGTGACACTAGATGCACCTTAAAGACGAATTGAACTTAGGCATGAATGTATGTGTTAAGCTTGCATTTGTTGGTTACGGAATAGCGTGTGATAAAATTTTCATTTTCTTAAGATTAGATGAAAACTTCAAGTTAAAATCGACATACTCTAGATCATCATTACCTAATTTCGTTTTAGATATTTATTTTATGTAAGCTTTTATATTTTCAAAATACAAGGTGCGTTACATACAGAAGAGCAAAAGCAATGTGAAATTCGAAATGAGTACTATTTCTCGGCCTAAATAAAAGTACTTACTATCATAATTGAAAAACACTTCCAACTATGTATGACATTAATACTAACCTATTAATACTTGCTAATGTTAAAATTAGATAATATGATATCATGATCGCATTCATTTTCTCTTGTTTCGAAACAAAACATAGTATTTCTATTTAAGAAAGTTTTCATTTTCAATTTTACATTATTTTTACTCATATTTCACAAAATTTTCATTTTATAAATTATTAAGAGTTCTTAAGTTTTACAAAATGTTAGATTAGCATTTGATAGCGAAGAGGTAAATTTTGTGCATGTAAGGTTTTTTTAGGGACATGTAAGGCTTTCTTGAAGTGAAATATATCTTCCAAAAAAGTCAAAAGTTTAAGTTGATACTGGAACTAGACTTTACTATTTCATTCATTACACATGTCAATACAGTGCTTCACTTGATTGCCACATTTTTTTTGCCACACTTCTACTGTACTTGGTTTTATGTACCTAAGTGAAGGATGTATTTTTTTGCTTAAGTTCTCGAGTAATAGCTAAAACTCATACTCCGTATTTGATACCACAAAATATCTTAGTTGAAGTGAAAAGTCAACAATTTTCTTAGTGTCATCTCAACTTACTAAAGAATAAAGATAATGCTCACATGACTAGCAAAAGATTTACTCTTTCTTCCCCGTTCTTAAATAAATGCAACAGTCAAAATTTCACACTTGCTGATACACAACTTTGACCATTAATATATACTCCGTATAATTTTGTATAAGTAAAAAAATTAAAAAAAAAAGTTTTTGAAAATTTACAATGAGACAAATTTAACAATATTTTTTTCATAAAAAATATTAATACATGACGAGCACTTTGTCAAGGTGCGTCAAAATAAATTCAATACTAACAACTATACATAGTATAGGTGAAAGTAGAGTTTGTATCCACAGGGAAATGAATAATTATCTTTTTAAATGAAACAAGTAAATAAAAGGGGGTTTTGATTGAGTGATTTAATTTAATTAAACACGAAGATGAATGACTTATATGAGATTTAATTCAAGAATAAAAAGGACTTGGCCTTGCTACTTTCCACTTGTTGATATATTTTAGTCGATCATTGTTATATCTATAACTTATTCCCTCTCGAATACTCAATCGAGGAGTATCTCCAATTTATCGAGGGTAGTTATTAACAACGACCGTTCATTAATAACCCTTACTATTAATCAAATATAGAACATCGCCGTATACCGATATAATAATAGCATTTAATCTCTTAAAACTCCTTGATGAAATCAATTGAGATTGATAACCTCAACACAACGGTTTCGGTTTAACCAACAAAATTAATCCCTCTTAAGTTTATTAACCACGACAGTGCATTAATAAACCAAAGTTACTTACTTGTGAAACCATCAACGATTAACCATCGGTTCGTTGATCATTTCTAGTAATAATTAATGTCGGAACGTTCTCTAATCGTCACTTAGCAACCCTCCAACATTAATAGAGAATAAGATTAAGGGAAGAATTAATAATCGAGAGAAGAAGTTAAGAAAATAACTCACAACTTTAATAATCAACAAGCTTCAAGAGCAAAACCAAGAAATGGAAGTTTAGCTCCTCATTTGGAGACTAAACATGCTATAAAAATATAAGAAATAACTATTCTAAACTGAGCTTAAGTATATGGAAGAAGGGATGGTTTTTTTGTGAAGGAAAAGGATTGTATTTATAGGTGTTTGGAGGTGGCAGGGTTGTGTACCCGATCGGGTATTTTAGGCAGTTTCCCGGAAAATCACTTTTCTAGACATACCCGGTCGGGTATGTAGGCATACCCGGTCGGGTATGAGCCAAATCTTCAAAATCCTATACGTTTTTTTGTCTCTCCAGATTCTAATTTTGACACCCGAATCAACTCAATACCCGATCGGGTATTGCCTATACCCGACCGGGTATATGAAATATTTTCTCAATCTTCTTTTTATTTTGTCCCCTTGCACCTTCCTTGATCTTTTGGGGTCCAATCTTGATCCTTTGGATGATTTTGACCTGTTTTAAGCTCAGAATAATCCTAATCTAAACAAATTACATTTATATAGGAAAATAAACTAATCACACCAAAAGTGTGTAATTTTCCAAACAACAACAAATAAAACTAGTTAAAATAGAAATAATAAATAATAAAAATACAACTCTATCAATACATTAACAAATAAAACATAGTCAAAGTGGAACATATGAATAGTGTAAATTTTCATATGTTGCATTTATTTAAGAACGAAGGTAGTATTTGCGATCGTACAATGTTTTAGTTGACGTGAACAAATAATAAAGGGTTATTTACCTATATATGAGTAAAAGTTGTTAAATTTCCTATTATATGACTTGACTGGTTATTAGTCTTCCGTATGACTAAAAATCCAAAAAGAAATCCCACCCCACGTAATAAACAACATGAAAGGACAGAATTGACCTCATAAAGTATCCCAGTATCCCATGTGTAGTTGAGAAACTAGGCTATCGCAAAGGAAAGTGACAGAATTGAAGCAACCTGCAATAGCTATACAAGACGGAAAGTATTGTGGCCGAGCTTGATTCTCCGGAACTTCGATTATGGAATAATGGAATGAATTAAAAAATACTTAATGTAACTTACTATATATTGTGATCGAGACTTCCTCAAGAAATATAAATGAGAAGGTGTGACCCTGAAAACTTTGAATAGAGCATACAAATATGCCGTAATTGTGCATTGAAAAAATATGAATTGAAGGTGTAGTTGTGCACTAATAATTTTTGTTTAGTAGTGTCTTAAAAAGGTGCAGTGAATTTGATAGATTGATACTATATTTTCATATCATGCATTATTATTTTGTATAGCAATTTTTAAAGAATGCAATAGCACGTAGCTCATTTGTTGGCTTCCAATTAAAGGTTTCTAATATTTACATAGTGGATTAATTTGGTAGTGCACTATTCCAATAAACAATTCAATGCACAATAATAATGCACAATATCAATGCACAATATAACTTCAATGACTCAGAACAGATTCGTTGATCAACCGGGCCGGTATACCCAACCGGCCAACCAAAACCCAGATTCCCGAAAGCCATCGAACATACATACATACATACATTCATACATACACACACATTCACAAACACACACATTCATGGCATCATGACTTGCCATGTAAGAGCAATTTTTTTACCAATATTATTTTTATGGAAGATTTTTACCCATATTATTCAAAATTCAAATAATAAACTACGGAGTAGCTTTTACGTACATGTGGGTCGTGCAGATCATATATGAGTATATTCCTTTCTTATTAGGAATGATAACTGATACTACCTCCGTCCCCCTAAGTTTGGGACAAGAAAAGATGACACGATTATTAATAAAAGTGGATTTATGTGGTTGATATTGAATTGATAAAGTAAGAATAAAGTATGAATGATTTAGAACCACACAAACTTTACCAAATAAGGTATGTGACAATCTTAGTGGGATGGACCGAAAAGGTAAAATGGGACAATCATAGCGGGACGGAGGGAGTACATCGTCGTTTACCTATTAGTTGTGCAAAGCAACTCCGTTTTTTTAGGAAGATTCAATTACTCATTACTTGATACGGTTGTGAGGGAAGACGTGGAATTATAGAAAAAGTTAAAATTCGGGAATGGCCTTGTGCCGTAGAGCATTACAATAGGGAAAAAAGTGATGAAGTCATATATTGAGAAACACAACATCTTTTAGTCATAACTGGGGTAAATATCTCAATAATAAAATGTGTTGAGTGTTTGCATATAAGGTCTCGTCCAACGACGAGAATAATTCTAGGAACGAGACCATAGTTATACTTCTGGAAGATAATCTATAATTAACAAAAAAATTAAATTCTTTAATGCAATAATTTAATGTCTGACCTGGTCAATATATAGACTATTACAAGAGTCCTAATATACACAAATTAATTCTTCCCAAAGTGCTTTATTCAATAATAATTATGTCCCTTATATAGACTATTAGAAGAGTCCTAAATGTAAAAAAAACAATTTCTAATTAAGAACTTTCGAAAAAGAAATTGCTAATTAAAAAGATGCGTA